AGGCCCTGACTGGCATCTGTGATCCACAACACTCCAAGCTCATTGTCATTGTTCAGGGAGCATGGTAGCATGTAGCCCATGCTTCATGCCTCTCCATCAGAGAATTTAATCTGTCAAAAAACATTTCTGAACCCCATTTGTGGAACATTCTGAGGTACTCAGCTAAGGGAAACACATTGAACTTGTTTTATGCAGTGATGCACATATTTCCAGCTGCTAAAATATTCTTACTTTTTGTCATTGTTGACCTTATTGGCGATACCAGTGTAAGCGAAAGGGTAGTCACCACTATGCAGATCTGTAGACAAAGCTGGTATTTTTCCTAGGGGCTTGTGAGTGGCTCCATGATCCAAAGATCTACAATATTGATTAGGACCTCAAATTTGTGTTCATTATCAAGTTAATCTCACTTGTATGCAGAAGCCCCACTTTACACCAGGAGGCAGCAAGGGCCAGTGGGCTGATCCAGGACCCTAGCAGGTTCCATAAGTCTTATTAAAAGTTTGTTCATCATCATAGCATTTGTTTTTCTCAATAGACATGTCATAATGATATACATTGAGGTGCTTTTCATGGGTTCCAACTCTGCATGGGTGGAGATGCCGCCTCTCCCCTCCCCCTCCCCATCCCCATCTTGTTTTTATTATTGCCAATGTGTTATGGCCCCTGACTTTTGCTGGTAATTTGAAGTAGGGCGAAACTGCTCGACAAGTTGCCGGAATAGCTTTTGACCCATCCTGAACATCGTGATGGTTCAAAGACATTCCGCCTGACCGGGGATAGCTGGCCGCGTCGGACGGTGCCGTAGTTGCCGGAGGAAAGCTGGTGGTCTGGACGGCACCAGAAATAGTTCGGTCCAATTTGAGATAATTCAGGCCACTCTCGGCACGGGGTCGGGAAAACGAGGTCGTCGTCTTGGCAAAAATACTTTTCAACATTTCCTTTTCACGCTCACTTAAATGGGAAACAGGGCCCAGGCTCAGACCTGTATTTGATTCATGCTGCAGAATCGATCCTCCATATGGCTTGCTGAACAATTCGAACCTGATTCACATTATTTTGTGTCATTTTGTCATCAATTCTTTGTCGATTCACATCACAATTCAGTCATTCAGTTTTGATCCCGATCATCTCGGATGAGTCAATCGGATGAACAACTGATGGTGTATAATAAATAAGAATAACCCTCTGTTCATAAATGAATGATTAAGTCCAGAAAACGTCTACAATAATATGATTGAGGAGCTGATACGTTGTGCCTGGATTTATTAATTTTTATGAGCATATCGTCATTTTGATGTTCCTCTACATATGCTGTTTGTGTACTGATTTAAAGAATGACACTGGAGTGATTCATTTTGCCCCCATGTTAGCTTTTCTTCATGTTGATCAGCTCTTTTGAGCGGTGGGGTAATGATTGAGTCCCTGAGTTGGCTTTCTTTTCAATGCAAAAAATATCGTAAGTTGTTCAGTGCATTAGCGAGGAGCATTATTCACATAGATAGGACAGTAGTGTTAGCCTTATTCCTTGGTGAAAACCAGGAGAATGGATATATAGTTGGGTTGATATTTCGGCAACGTGTCTTTATCGAAGCAGTAGCAGAGGCTATTGTTTGTTTTGCTTCTGCTATTGTTCTGATAAAGGCATGTTGCCGAAATATCGAACCAGCTACATACCCCATTCTTCTCGTTTTCGCCGAGGAATAGGGCTAATACTACTGTCCGGTACACATCAACAACAAAAAACTTGCTTACAAACTGTGTACCAACAAAGTACGGGGTCCTTGTAGAATAAAAGGAGTGTTCCATATTTGTGTGGGGTTTTGAACTGAAATTAGCCATCTTGAAGATCATATGTTGAAGTTTACAGCCCTGCCCTTATTAAGACGATGGTGATTTGCGTTTTAGGGCGACCCAACTTCTGAGGTCATTTTGCGCCCATTGTCCTTCTAAAGGCCTAAACCCTGCTAGTTTCTGAGCTGCGCATCCGGGAAGATGTGTAGTCTATTTAGGGGAGGCTATTTCGAAGTCACCCATGCATTCATGGCGCCATAATGATGTCACTCATGTTCCGTAATTCCATTGTTCTAATGTTCGGTCACTTGGGTAGCGTGGGTGTCGATATTTTTGCATGCTATTACACCCCGGCTTGTGGCTCACTGCCGATCGCCCCTCCCCTTGTTCAAAACCAGCCAATCAGCATCGAACCGCACTGCTGTTAAACCAGTATCTATGCGCCTCAGGCTTGACAAATGGGCTGAGTAGGTCAGATGGCTGGGTCGGGTTCAAAGGACAACGGATTACCGCGGACGGATCGCGTGCGGTGCCGCCGCCGGAGAGTCAACATTCTGGTGGCATTAATTTTTATTTGCATCCTGCACGCCCTACTGGATGAATTTTGGAACGCTCTGTAATTCCATCAGCCATGCGATGATGAAGGCCAAGAAAAATATTATTGTTGGGTGTTCATATTTTGCATCGTGACCAATATTTCCAGATATAACGGCCCTCATTTGGCTCCCAACTAGTGTCGTACAAGATACGGTGACGTATCCGAACAATGATGTATTGAGGAGCATATTTACAAAGCAGCGAAATTGTGTTGTCTAGAGCATTTTTCCATTCAAAAGTATACCTATGGCTAAAAGTAAATTTATTTCATCATACCTGATGGTAATACCACTAATATTCTCAAACATGGAGCATCCCATTTAAGCGATTCATCTTCAAAAGAACACGGATCTGAATCGAGGCACATGTCAGAGCGGCATACTCACCTTTTGACGCTCCTCGCATGAATGAGAGAGACACACGAGGCACTGACTTGCCACACGCTCCGATTGAGGTCCAATAGAGCTTCTTCATGAGAGGTCACTGCACCACTCGCACATCGCCCCCACTTTACGGTTGCGGCATGGCACCAAACGCGTTCCAGTTTGCTATTTAGGGTTATTTCAGAATTTCCCGTTGCCTTAGCGTGACGCGGTCGTGAAATGCTGTAGGGTGCGACGTCGGAATAGTGTTAATGTTCGCTCTAGTTAACGACGCGTGCAACTGCTGTGACCACCGGCAACGCAGTCTCGCAGTCACCCAGATCCTAGCGGGAGGAGCCACAACCCATAGCAACTCTGGGGCCCGCCCCATGTGGCCACGAGTGTAGCGTGCCACCGCCCAGCGCGCTGGCGTCTGCAGCGTCGGAACACTGTCGTCCTGAGACGCTGCCGGAATGCTGTATTCAGAGCACGGCCCTCTGCTGAGTCGCACACGATGTGGACGATCCGGTGGAATGGCTTGCTGCGGTGGCCCTTGGAATATCGTGCGAGGCTTTCGCCCGGATGAGGCGTGGAATGGTCCGCTCAGGTCACCTGAGGACCACCTTGGAATGTTGCCGCCGTCATTCTTGACCCGGGGCAGCATTCGCTCGTCCTGTGAAACACGGTCTATCCGTGTCCTCGGCTTTGATTTTTCCTTGCGCGGCTCGACGATGCGCCGTGCGTCGTAACAGACGGCGTCCCGGCGGAATGTGCCGGAACACGGGAGGAGAGTGCCGTGTGGCTGGCGCGGCGGGCGCCATGGCATCGTGTACTGGAAACAGCAAAATTTTGAAATTTAGCCACCGATGGGTGGTTGATCCGGCCGTTTTACCACACCGCCTGTTCCCAATAGCAAGTTGACTTGTTTACGTGTGCGGCCGAGGGTAGTTCAAATTTAGACCGGAAGGGGTAACGGACTTTGAACCAGGGGCGAGGGACGGGGGAGGGGAGGCTTGTTAACAGGGACGAAGGTAGAACAGACTGACTGAGGTACAGACGGGATATGGATATGGATATGGATGAGGAGCGGTAGACGCATTTCAGTGATGCGGACGCGCCGAGGTAGGGAAACAACAGAAACACGAAACCCTGGAACTGGTGACGTCACGTCTGAATCTGGACACGCCGCCGCGACTCCACTACAATTACAAATCCCTTCCTGAACTCCCTCCCGGAGCGTACGGGTCGCGCGAGGGAACATTGACGATGACCGTTTGAAAACGTCCTCTAGCGGGCAAAAGCTCCAAACGGCTTGGCGAACCAGCGCCTGGGCGGAGCACCCGCCAAGGGACGGCCAAGGGCGTGACGCTCGCCGGACCGCCGACACGGGCGGCTGTTCGGACCCCTGTCTGCCGTGTCAGCCGGCCCTTCCGTCAGATGGCGATGTGTTGATGTTTTGGCTCCTGCTGGCCTGGTCCCAGGCCCTTCAGCCTGTGGAAAGCTGTGCCGCACCAACAGCGCACAGATGTAGGCCGATTCGTGTGGCTTGCGTGATCCCTCCGTTGGTAGCATGTGCCGGCCAGAGCGCGGCTCTTTGCAGGCACGCGCCGCGGTCGGCGTTTCTGAGAGGTCCGTAGAGAGTTGTAGGGCCTCCCGGATGCCCGGCAGCTGTAGCCTCAGGCCGCGTAATGACCTTCTGAAATGGCCTTCAGGGGCCGTGTGGACACGCACCCGGTCCACCCCTGTGCACATCGACGGTGGTGAAGATAATCCACTGTGCAGTGTTCTGTTCATGTCGCCGGGTCGCCTGTCCACGCTGTGCAGTCGGGCCGCCCTCGCGCGGTCGTCAGAATCGCCCTCGTGTTTGTCGCTCAGCTGTCCGCTCTGTCCGTGCATTCTTTGCCTCGTAGTGGGTCCGTATTTTCGTGGTCTCTCGCCCGCGACCCCTCAGCGTCACCCTCTCTCCCGCCCTTCCCCTCTGTAGTTGTCCCTCCGACGGTGGGGCGCCTCCGCTGGGCACCTGCCCGGACCACGTGACCTGTTTCGGGACACCCGGAGCCGACACGGCGCCGCCCCTGCCCGCCGGCGGCGGCGGCGGCGGCGCGGCGTCGGCTGTTACCGTCCAGCGTGTGGACCCCGCCCCGCCCCCGCCGACATGCGCTGCTGTCCGCAGCGCGGCCATCGATCGCTGCCGGCGGCCGGGGGTGCGCCGGTGGCACGGCCGTGTGTCCGCGCCCGGCCGCCGCCATGGCTGGCCGCCGCCGCTGGCTGGTGGCGCTGCTCTGGCTGGCCCTGCAGTGGCGGCCCGTGCAGGAGGCCGACGCCGCGTGAGTATGCCGCCGCCGGTGGCGCCCGAGCTCAGCGTGGAGCCATGCTCCTGATGCTGACCGGCGCTGGCTGCTTGTGACTCTGAGTGGCGCTGGCTGCTCCTGACGCTGACTGGCGCTGGCTGCTCCTGACGCTGACCGGCGCTGGCTGCTCGTGACTCCGACTGGCGCTGGCTGTTCCTGACGCTGACCGGCGCTGGCTGCTCGTGACTGACCGGCGCTGGCTGCTCGTGACTCCGACTGGCGCTGGCTGTTCCTGACGCTGACCGGTGATGGCTGCTCGTGACTCCGACTGGCTACGTGGGCCACGCTCCCCGCGTCTGCCCGTCGCCCTCCGCTGAGCGGACTACCGAGTGTGGTCTGACCTTGTCTGGTACGGGATCCTGTCACGGGGCTGTAGGGAGGCAGTGGGACGTGCTGGCCATCGCGTGTGGCGCCGATCGCCGGGCGGGTGTGAACCGCGCCGTGTAGTCGCTGGCGCGTGCCGCCGGCGTCGTCGTCTCAGAGCACGGACAGCAGGTGTTTTTATCAGTCTTTCGTGCCCTCGTGCCCAATGCGTGGACTTGTCGTCGGCGAAAATGGCCAAAAGGAGCCGCCCGCCGATAATCGATGGTGTCGCACCGCTGACGAAGCGGGGATGACGCTTTGCCGTCACCGCACAGCTCCGTCAGCTGGTCGGTTCAATTCAACCCTGATGTCGTGCCTGCGAAGGGCGCGTTTGGTCCGACGTGCGCCGGCATGCACCTGTTCAGCGGCGGTCGACGGCCGCGGGTCACGAGCCCGGCGCCGGCGGCGCGGCGGTGTCTTCAGGCAGCCGGGCCCCGCGCTCCGGGCGGCCGCCGGCGCCGCGACGGGTTCCGCTCGCCGCCTCGGCGCCGGGGCGGGGCAGTGACGCACGCCCGGCCGCCTCGGCGCCGACTCACGGGCGCGGAGTCGCCGCCGGCTGCTGGAGCGCGGCGATCGGCTGGAGAGCACGTTGGGGACGTGGGGCGCGAAGGACGTGAGGGTCGGGCTATGGTCGCCGGACATGAAGAAAGCTAGAGAAACGGGATCGGCTAATGAGCACATTCTTGCTCCCTTTTTAGCTCTGCCTCTCCAGCTCTTCAGGAAAGCGATTTTACAAGCTCCCAAACCGAATATTAATAACGCAACCTCCCGATTTAGGGATGCGATTAATCTCATGGGGTTTAGATGCACAGCGCCCTGTTTTCGTTCTTTGTGATCTGAGCTGACGCACCGAACGCGGATGATGCCGATTTGTTAAGTCGCGTTTAGTTGCCAAGAAGATATGCTGAAAGACACCTTTGTTACGCTACATCCGCACCCCGCGTTGCCCCCTGCCCAGCATCTGGCTGATGCCGGTGGCAGCGATCTGGACGGCTCCGTGCGGATGACGCACCAGATACGTTTGCCGTGCTCCACGACCCGGAAGCGGCGTGGTCGGCGGCTCCGCGGTCGTGATTGATGCGTCGCGGCGCGATTCCCCACTGGTATCTGCCGCGGCTGCGGCGGCCGGCACAGGCCGCCGCCGGCGCGCGAGCAGCGTCGGCAGCCACGCAGAGTACGTCCCGGTCTCGGGCGCCCCGTGAGAGCTGCGCCACGTTTGTGCCGCCGGCCCGCCGCTCTCGGTCAGAAGCGGCGGCCGGTGCCGACGGGGTCTGACGGACACGCCTGCGGCTGGGCGGTGTGAGGTCTTGAACTTTGGGTACGGACGAGTCCTTTAACCGGTTCATGGGACCGAAAGGCGGTCGGTGAAGGTCGGACCGGATCACCTGGTCCCGGATGTAGCGCCACTAAAACCCAGCATTGTTCCCAGAATGACAGTGTCATTAGCGCTTCGGTGACACCGGCTGTCCTCCGTATCCATTGAGTTCTTCTGGGCTTGTTTCGCATTACACCGGCTCTTGGGTGCAGCTACGTAGTCGGCGCCGGATCTACACAGCACCGGCTGGTGCGGCTCATCGGGGCCGAATCTACGCAGCACTGGCTGGTGTGCCTACTTGGGGCGGGATCTACGCGGCACTGGCTGGTGTGGCTACTTGGGGCGGGATCTGCGCAGCACTGGCTGGTGTGGCTACTTGGGGCGGGATCTACACAGCACTGGCTGGTGCGGCTACTTGGGGCGGGATCTACACAGCACTGGCTTGTGCGGCTACTTGGGGCCGGATCTATGCGGCACTGGCTGGTTTGGCTACTTGGGGCGGGATCTACGCAGCACTGGCTGGTGTGGCTACTTGGGGCGGGATCTACGCAGCACTGGCTGGTGCGGCTACTTGGGGCGGGATCTACGCAGCACTATCTGGCGCGGTTCCGGGGAGCCCCATGGCAGCGGAGAGCCACGCTTTGGAATAAAACATTTGTGGCTGAACAACGTCCGCGAGCGGGGACGCACCGTCCCCGGTAGTGTTGTCCCCGGGGACACCCCGTTAGTGTCACCAAATCAGACTGGGCCCGGTGCTCGGGTAGCTGCTGAAGGCTGATGAATCACCTCGTTCATCAGCTCCTCAGTCAGCCACGACGTCAGCGGCATGTCTTGTCCCCGGCTGGTTATCGCGCCGGTGTGACCGGCTGCACATGGTTTCCGGGCCTGGTCGGGCTGAGATCAGAGCCTCAGCTGGTTACCAGGCTAGACAGGCGTTGGCTCCTCGCTGGTGATCATGTCACACTGAAGCTGCTTATCACGGGACGTGCGGGCCAGTTTCTCGGTGGCTTACGGCATTGGCCCGAAGGTTACCGCTTGAGGTTGATCTCATTTACTCGTTAGTTACCACGCAGGTTGCGATATTTCTTGATTTGGTTACCATGATATGTCGTCAGTCGGTAACCACGCCATGCTTTGCCAGTTTCTCATTTGGCTATCACGTCATACTAGTGGTAACCATATAGTTTTTAAGTTGGTTTGTTTCGTCGCCAGGCTAAGCCTCGTGCCGCAACTGATCTTCAACCCAGGGTCCAAGGGTCCCAGGGTCTCTAACCTAGCAAGTGCCACCAGGCACACTCCCTTGGTGTGCCAGGACGCCAGGCTGAGACCAGCTCCCTTTTAGTTTAGACATCAGGATGGGACCAGATCTCCACTGGTAAGACGCCAGGCTGAGATCAGCTCCCTGTTGATTTAGACGCCAGGTTGGGACCAGATCTCCACTGGTAAGACGCCAGGCTGAGACCAGCTCCCTGTTGATTTGGATGCCAGACTGGGACCAGATCTCCACTGGTAAGACGCCAGGCTGAGACCAGCTCCCTGTTGATTTGGACACCAATTTGGGACCAGATCTCCACTGGTGGAACGCCAGGTTGAGACCAGCTCCCTGTTGATTTAGACGCCAGGTTGGGACTAGATCTCTACTGGTAAGACGCCAGGCTGAGATAAGCTCCCTTTTGGTTTGGTCGTCAGGCTGAGACCAAATCTCCACTGGTAAGACGCCGGGCTGAGACCAGCCCCCTGTTGGTTTGGACGCTAGGTTGGGACCAGATCTCCACTGGTAAGACGCCGGGCTGAGACCAGCCCCCTGTTGGTTTGGACGCTAGGTTGGGACCAGATCTCCACTGGTAAGACGCCAGGCTGAGACCAGCTCCCTGTTGATTTGGACGCCAGGTTGGGACCAGATCTCCACTGGTAAGACGCCGGGCTGAGACCAGCCCCCTGTTGATTTGGACGCCAGGTTGGGACCAGATCTCCACTGGTGAGACGCCAGGCTGAGATCGGCTCCCTGTTGATTTGGACGTCAGGCTGGGACCAGATCTCCACTGGTGAGACGCCAGGCTGAGATCAGCTCCCTGTTCATTTGGACGTCAGGCTGGGACCAGATCTCCACTGGTGAGACGCCAGGCTGAGATCAGCTCCCTCTTGATTTGGACGCCAGGTTGGGACCAGATCTCCACTGGTGAGACGCCAGGCTGAGATCGGCTCCCTGTTGGTTTGGACGCCAGGTTGGGACCAGATCTCCACTGGTGAGACGCCAGGCTGAGATCGGCTCCCTGTTGATTTAGACGTCAGGCTGGGACCAGATCTCCACTGGTGAGACGCCAGGCTGAGACCAGCTCCCTTTTAGTTTGGACGTCAGGCTGAGACCAGATCTCCACTGGTGAGACGCCAGGCTGAGATCAGCTCACATTTGTTCAGGACGTCAGGCTGAGATCAGCTCACATTTGGTCAGGACATCAGGCTGCGCCAGTTCTGAGCTCAGCTGCTAGATCCCCGTTGAGCTCAAGTGCAGTGTCGGACCTGACCCGACCTTGACATGGTTTTGGCACGGGCCAGTCCTGAGACTGACCCTGCTCTGCGCCTCGCCTGATGGGATATTGCCCGAGCAGCCTGCCGTCGTTCTCGCGTGGAACGGACGCCCCATTCGGGAAGCACTGTGTGATCTTTTCGCGGTCGGCTCGCACCACTAAGTGGTCCGTGGCTGTTCTCTGGGGGCCGTCTATCCCCACAGAGGACGTCATTCGCCGTCGGCTACGCGGGCTGTTTCGCATCAGATGTCGGCGGCAGGGGGTTGACCGTCCAAGAACCTGGTCTGAAATGCATGGTGCAGCATGATGAATTACGCCTTGCCCATGCATGGCCGTGAAAGTGACGGATCATGTATTTTGATTACCAGTAGATAAGCAACGGTCGTCAGCTATTCAATCTGTCATAAAGCACACGATATCGTGTCGTCTCAGATATTTGTGAAATACAAGGGCTTCTATTTTTGGGGACCAGCAGGAAATTTTTTTTGTTGTTTGTAAAACTCAGGGTTTATGCTTGACAAAACTTGTGTGAACTGCTTCCCCACGCTCAAATGGGCGCGGCTGGGTGCCCAATGAAACACTAATAGTTTTGCTCATAGTTCGTGGAAAAGGTAGGAAAGAGAGTCACTAGTCCGTGGTTTAGCATCTTCAGACTTGTCAAGCCAACCCAATGGTGGTAGGACTGCAAGGGACAGGATATACCAATTCAGAGATGACTTTCTTCAATATAAAATGCCAGGTGTTCCAATAATTGTATCAGTCATCAAGGC